TTTCTATATGACTATAATTATGGATTAATTATTATTTTGAATTTATGAATAAAAATATTTGTTTCTTTGTCATTTCAATGTCTTCCTCATCTTTTTATTACTTTTGTATACGTTTTTACTTACTACTCGTGCTTTTCACCTTATAATCCGTTATCTAATTTTAACTCGTTTTCTTAAGCTATAATTAAAACTAAAAATGTCTTTTTTTTTTCCTTTTTTTTAATCCTTAACATATTAAACGTCATTTCAAACACGATGCGTTCTTTAAATGTGTTACGGAAGGGTTGAAACTTTTATAAAGTTTCTAAAAACGTAGACTTCAGCGGAAAAAGAAAAAGACGTGTATAGAGGTACAGAAATGGAAATACTATAGTTAAGATTCTATAAACAAGAACCTTCCTCAGTGCCTAAACTCAAAAACACAAATTTAGGTGTTCAGACATAGAGAATGTTGTTGCAGTTCATTTACGTCTCACTAGAGCTGCACAATGGGCTATTGGCGACGGTCTGGGAAACATCCCTAAAGGATGATCCGAAGACATGTCTTCACAATTCTGCAGAGGGGATGGCACCCCCACTTCGGTAGTCCGACGACCTACACGCGAAGTCAAGCACTTTACAGTAGAACAGTTTAACGAGAACCTATACCGCACACCCTCAGTCCCCACGCAGAGTTATTCAAGTGGTCACCCACGAGCACACTGACCGCAGACAGTGATGCTTGACTTCGGTGATCTGCTGGGAAACGTGTCTTAACGATCAGTCCACTGCGTGAAGGTTCTTGTTTAGAGAACCGAAACTATGTCTATTTCTAATGTCCATGTCTAATGTATATCTATTTCTGTACTTTATTTGTGCTTAATTCGTGTTATTTTTACTTTAACTGTTACTTTGCATTTACATGTTATAAAGATCAATTCACAGTTCAGTTTTTTTTTTCAGTCACTTTTTAGATCTAATTTAACAGTATAAAAATTGTTCTCGCTCGCTTTATTTATTCTAAAGCATTCTTTTTGTATTCTAAAGCATTCTTTTTGTATTCTAAAGCATTCTTTATTTATTCTAAAATTGAAAGTGTCCACACACATTAGGAAAACCCTCAGAGACGTCACATTTAATTAAAACTTGCAGGTGCGTGAAGCTTTTGAAAAAGTTATGTCACTTTGACGTGCTTTTAATCCCCCCATAAACTTTGTAGTGTTGTAATGCAAATGTCAGACCTCATCTAATAGATGAGGTCTGACAATTACATCGATTCAGTCGATGTTGACCTCTTGAATAACCGGTTTCATCAGGGTTTTTCCTCGCTTTCACTTCGGCTTATCTTTTTCAGGGTTAGGAGGTCTGTAAAACACCATTTCTCTTCATTTTTTTTCCCCTGATGTTTATCTGAAGTCTAATGAAGTGTTAACCGAAATTACTATTTTTACGAAATAAACGGAACACATTTAATCCGTCTTCACGCCCAATAGATACGGGGTAAAGTCTATGATGAACACTTTGGTTGTTGTTGATTTAAGGTTTATTGTGAAACATTTTTTTTTTTTGCAGTAATTTTAAAAAACAAAAAGGACGCAAATTTTTTTATCATATGGGATAGGTTATATAAGAATGACTTTCAGTTCCTCGCCATATTCTTAGACGCACTATAAGATTCTAAGCAAAATTATAATTATCACGTGATACTATACAGCTGTATTGTTTTTACTCGAATGAAACCGGTTTGCATTTGTTTACGCTCCTGTATCAATTGGTTAACATTGTAATGCAATACGTTAAAAATAAATACAAATAGGAAGGGTATAAAAAATCTCCTAAATAAAAACCCATTACATGTATGTTTAAATATAAAAGTATTGCCTATAAACTCGTACAAATCATGTTATTATTAAAAAACTACAGTGCGTCTAATAATTTGATCTAATTATTATAATATACTAATATAATACCTGATATACTAATTATTCTATATTTATATAATTTATCGTCTAATTTATCCTATCGTCAAATTTATATTATATATCGTCTAATTTAACCAATTGATGCACGGAGGTAAATAAGTGCAACCCGGTTTCAGTGTCATAAAAACAATAAAGCTGTATAGTATCACCTGTTAAAATTTTTTTTGCATAGAATCTTATAGTGCGTCTAGTAATTTGGCCACAAGGACTGTATAATTGACTATTCCAGCGAAATGGAATCATTTCGCTGGAATGGTTCCAAAAACAAGGAAGAGCATAACCTGTCCATTGTTTTTTTATTTTGAAATATTTTCTTTTATTAACCTGTAGTTTACTCGTTAAATTTTATAATTAATCTCATTTTATTTTCGGGTTTTGTTCTTATCTTCAGCTAGCATCAAAACTACTTAGGAAATTGCTTGAAACTTTTTAAACTGTTAAAATGTTCAAATCTGACTTTTTCCATTAATTGTCAAATACAATTCACTGCAAAATTATGAGATTTTTTTTTTTTTTTTTAAACTTTTTCAGCGCATGCGCAGTATAAAATAATAACTTTATTTATTTATATATTGCACAGTTTTTAATGATTTTTGTTTTCTAATTTTAAAGCAAAAACTTTGTAATTAAATTTTAAGTTGCTCTAAGAATTTTGCTTAATTTTATTAATTAATTAATTAATCTCTAATTTTGTCATAGCCCGAAAAAAAAACGTAAGACAGAAAAAATTACTTTTTTATAAAAAATTTCTATATTTCCTTAAATAATTAAGCTAGGCTTACGAAATTTTGTGCAATTGTTACATATAATAACCAAAATAATTGTTAAAAGCTACAAACTAATCGCTATATTTTTTGCCGTAAGGTGTTCAAAAATACTTTTTTTCCGTTCGTTATTTATGATTGGTCCCTCAAACTTCTAAAAGCTTTAAACTTCTTTGAGTAGTATGAGCAATCGCATGATGTAAAGACTTCTGTAATTATAAACTGATTCCTTAAGTATAGATGGGTTTCCATTATTTTGTATATATATATAAGTTCAAAATGTGGAGAAAACATGGAAAGAATTATAGAACAATGAAAAAAGGGAAAAATAAAAATAATAATAGGAAAAAAATTTATAATAATTTGGAAAATAAAAGATATAATCTTTTTATTAGCCCACACGATTATATCAGCAAAAAAGAGTGCTTTCTAATATTGTATCAATGTAGCCAAAGCAAAATATATCAATACACTATTGTATTGTATATTGTGAAATTTTTTATTATTTTTTTCCCTTTTTTATTCTGTAATTTTTTCCATGTTTTCTCTACATTTTGAACTTATTTTATGAGTTCTATTTACATGCAGCGTATGCGCAGTAAATAGAACTTATTGTTCTTCTTAATTTTCTTCGTTTCTTTTTTTCTTTTTCTCCTTTTTGTTTTGTATTTATATATATATATANTAGGCGTCGATCAAGTTGTTCTTCCATGTTGCCCATGAAATATATTTGTAAAAATTTATTATGTGTATCCTCGAAAGGTAGTAATGATCCAATTCGATGATTATTATATATATATATATAAATAACAGGTATGTTCAGTATAAACAGTATATGCTGAAATGAACTCACAAATGTTTCTAACACTTTCACTATTAATATTATGATAATATGCGTGAAACGGTTTGTTACTTATGTAAATTAAGAAACATTTTGTCTTATTAAAACACTATTTTGTTACAGATAATACTTTTAACAAAAAGTTCAGTATTAACAGGTATATTCAGTATAAATAGGTAATATTATTTTTTTTTTTACGCTTAAATAACTTGGGAGTGGATTGCAGTCACGTAAATTTTACCGAAAATACATTAAATATTAAAAAAAAAAAATATTAATTTATTCTCTAGAGATTTGAAACATATGCCACCCTCACGTCTGCTTACAGCGTTACAAGTAAATTCTGGAAAGCTAAATTTTATTTAGTATCGTAAAGTTTACTTTGTATTCATTGAAAAATTAATATTATAAATATTAATTTCTACTGTATAAATAAATATATTTTTCAAATTAATTTTTAAAAACTAATTTGCGGTGTTCTGTGTTGGCCAGAAATAAACGGTAAATATTTTATTTTATAACCGTCGTTGAACATTCGACCCAATTTTTTGGGTTTACGACCACTAATGTTCAACTCCGCAACCTTGTAATTTTGAACTCTAACCAGAAGACAAGGGAACACCTGGATCAAGTATTGGGAGAAATTTGCCTTCGTGGAGGACTTCCTGATGGAACCAACCCGCATTTGTGTTACATGGAGTGGACAACCACGAAAATCTTCCATGGTTAGCCTGACGTCAAGGGAACTCTAACCTATGATCCGTCTACCACTGAAGATATTCCCTGAATTAAAATTCTCTACCAATAAGTCGATTAAGAAACTCTTCGGTTTACAAAATTACAATTAAATGAATACTTTTAAGGATTTGAATGGGGTATGGCCGAACACAAATGAGTGTTACCCGATAACAATGGCTGGGTAGCAAGTCTTTCCATTGCCTATAGGGCAATCCTCTATAAGACTCTTCCCTATAGGAGTAGGACTGTTTCATATTTTTTGAGGGTGGAGAAAAATAAAAGATGCATGTTAGCATTCTTCTTTTCTGAAATAAATACAGCAGACCGAATTTGTTTTCATTTTCAGGATTAGAAAGAAGAAAAAAAAATTACCTTTCTGATACGAAAGTTCATTTTAAAGCATTTCGATCACATTTTGTAATTTAATTTCTATTATTGAAGTAGGGATATTTTTTATTCCCCATTAGGAATTTCACACATTTTAGATTTGAAAAAAAATTATAGGAATTATAGGATACTAACCCTCAAACATAGAGAAACATTTGTGTAAGGAATACCGGCCAATGGCACTTCACCTTTAAAAAAAACATCAGTGATTGCATTTGAAACTCCTCTAAACCTCCTGAGAAGTGATTGCCTAAATTTTCATGTTTCAATAATGTTCCTATAAAATTAAAAATAAATTTGATTCAACAGGTTCATGATTATTCAGTTGTGTGTGTGCGTGAGAGGCCAATCCTTCAATCCGAGGCCACTGAGTGAAAGAGGGCGACAAACACCTGCTGCAGTCGTTTTGCCCAGAAGTCTCTCCCCAACTTCTGTTCAACAAGCTTTCAGCAGAGCTCAAGAAATCATCTCATCTCGACGCTCCACACTAAGTGGGAGAAGTAAGTTTTTATATGCATAATCTGATACAGGCTCTTCTTTAAAAACCCAGAAGACGAGCGATTAAATGTCTAAGTGGCCGGGTCACGTTATGGGTGGAAAATTACATCACTATTCGTGGGAAGGGAGACTGGCGTTAACGCGATTTTAGAAAATTGCTGAAAATTTTACCTTTAAACAAGTTATTTTTTTCTTTACATCTACTTAATAATTTATTTTATTATAGTCTCAAGATATTATTTTCAACATTATTTTCAAAAGTGTTTCTTAGTCTAAGATTTCAAAAAATTTAATCTGAATAAAAGAAATGACTATTTAATTGAAAACTATGCAATTTACTGATTTTTTAAAAAACTGATTGACTGACAAACTAGCCTTCTTTTGATTTTTAGCCCTCATTTTCTTTACTTCCTATAATTAGCTAGAGGATATGATCCGCCGAGAAGTGAGAATATTCTAATGTCAACACTAAGGTTGATGCGAGCAGAATTCGAAGCGATCAGTCCTGGATCACCTGATTCGAATCAGCTCTCTACCTTCTGAGCAACTGTGACTCCTTGGAAAAGGTTTTCGTAATCAGTTAGCTTTTTTAAAAGAGCTAAATAGGCCGGGTGAGAAGATGGAAAAAGCCAGTTCTGGGCCAGTGGTGCCGAGTTGAGTTGTTTGCCTCCTGTTGCTGAGTTCAGTTGAGTTGTTTCCATCCTGCTGCTGAGTTAAGTGGAGTTGTTTCCCCCCTTTTGCTGTTGAGTTGAGTTGTTTTCCTCCTGCTGCTGAGTTGAAATGTTTCCCTCCTGTTGCTGAGTTCAGTTGTTTCTCTCCAGCTCCCGAGTTTAGTTGAGTTTTTTCCCTCCTGCTGCTGAGTTTAATTTCGAGCAGGCTGGAAGCAACTCAATTCATCAGTAAGAGAAGAAGCAACTCAACTTTACAGTAGGAGGAAAACAACACAACTCTACTTGGCAGCAGTAGAGAAACAGCTCAACTCAGCAGCAGGAGTGAAATAACTCAACTCAGCAGCAGGAAGATGAAACAACTCAACTCATTTCGGCACCACTGGCCCAGAACCGGCTTTTTCCATCTACTCAGGTGCCACAGTTCCCTTGGCAACTGAAAGTAAATGTCATATCTTATGCTGATAATAAGTGAGGTTGATGATACGAATTTAATAAGTCTTATTTTGTTTGTTGATGCAGTGCCTAACTAAGTTTGTATAATACTTTGTCTAATAATAACTTAAATAGATTTTAATTGAGTGCAAAGCAACTGCTCTTTAAATTTTCACTTAATGGAATTATTAAAATCTATTTGAATGTGCAAGTATCAATGAATTAGTTCCAAATAATTATCCATCAAATTATTATGAATTAGTTCCAATTTAAAAAGAGGCCACACATATAACGGAACAAATTATAATAATTTTAATTGAATGTCTATGCAAGAGATCTTCTCCAAGCTTTACTTTTAGGGATATATTCCATACGAAGCAAAAATTTGTTAAAAAAAAGCATGTGTGGGAAACGCTAAACATATGCTATTATTGAAAAGTTCATGATTTTTATTTTCTAAAGGGCGGACGTTCGATCCCCGAAGAAACGTTCCTTCAGCTCGTCATCAACGCTTCCAAGGTATTCAGGGCCGTGCTCTGCAGTCAGAAAATGTGCAAGAAAACTTTGAAGAAGCCACAAGGGTTTTGCTCAACGAGTAAGCTTTTTAAAATTTCTTTTATTTTCATTGGAATATTACACCGCTCTATGATCCTTCTACATAGTTCAATAAAAATTCGCTCTTATTGAAAGACGCACTTCAACTAGCAGATAATTTTCTTGAGCAACCTATACACTTAAATAAAATAGGTGTTCCTAAGTTATTCAACTCCCCGACTTTACACACTAAAATAGGTGTTCCAAAGTTATGCAATTCCCCAACTTTACACACTTTCTCCCCCTCTGTTACCTTATGGCAGTGTTTCCCAAACTTATGACTTTTGTGTACCCTTTCTAAATTTTTCGTAACGCTGTGTACCACTAATAAGTTTGATATTGTTTTTGCTGTGATAAAAAAAATGCACAAAAGTTAAAAATCAACTGGCTGTTTGCACCACTAATTATTAAGTGTTAACTCTGCAAAAAATAGCCAAGAGAAAAATACTTTATCGTAAATTTTCATGGCTATATTTGTTTTTAATTAAATTTTTTTTAAAATTTTCGTTTGATGCAAGATATTTCGCATAAGAACGCGCACCCCCGCTTAACTGTTCCCGTACCGATGGGGGTACGCGTACCGCACTTTGGTAAACACTGCCTTATGGTATCCTAAAATTTAGCTTTTCCCTCTAGTCAATATTTTCCCCAGAAGTCAATATTTTTTCACTTCTGACTAAGACGTACTGACGTGGGGAAAGAACCTACTTTTCTGAAAACATGGCAACGGATAGAGAAAAAGTGTGGAGTATGGGGAAATCGAGTAGCTTTGAGACAACTTTTCTATTTACAAGAGTATAATAACTGTTAATTTATTGATAAAGGAGGGATAAATCTTCTGAACTTTAAAGTTTTTCTGACTCAGTATGATGACATCTCAAAGTCTTTACAATTAATCTCACAGTGGAGTGATTGTAAGAGTAGACCACCGAATTCAAACATCACTGCCGTCGTTCAGTGAGCGGATGGTGACCCATTTACTTGATCAGTTTGCGAAGAGACTAAGGGTTTGTGTAATCGGATAAAAAATCGACGATAGCTAACTAACAACAAGGGCCTCTAAGAGAACGCTCCTGTCCTGCGAAGCTTGTAATTTTTCAATTTCTGAAAGATCACATTCCTTTTTTTGCCAAAATTTTTAAATTTTAATTTTTTTTCAAATGGGGACAAGGAAACTTCCCTTCTGTACAACTGCTGTGCCGGTTGTGCTGTACGAAAAAAATTTTATCATCATTTTCCGAATCACTAGTTTATCTGAAAATCAAAGTATGATGGAGAAGAAAAAAAATCAATCTTGTTTTCACTGGATTCAACCTCATATTTCAGGATTTTATTAAACCACAATTATCTTTTTCATTACAGTTACAATCTGACCCCGGAACAGATTATGTTCGGTCTGACTGATATCCGCAATATGCTGCCGGGAAATGATGTCGCAAGTTGTGAGTCTCAGTTTAATTTCACCTGCAATCCAAACTCTCGATACAGAACCTTTGACGGAAGCTGCAATAATTTACGAAACCCTTCCTGGGGTATGGCAGCAGCCTGCTTTGAAAGGCTTGTAGATCCAGACTATGCAGACGGTAAATCTTTCTCTCTCTCTCTCTCTCTCTCTCTATAGTTGTTACATTACTGCACTATAGGTGGATGAATGAAATAATATTGCTTAAATAAACTAAGTATTCATTTATCATCTTTTATTTTCAGGCACTGCGGCCAAAAGAGTGTCATTGTCAGGAAGTCCATTACCTCCACCTCGTACTATTTCCTTAGAAATCCACGAACATCTGGACAACCCTACAGATTATGTGACTCATATGTTTATGGTGTATGGTCAATTCCTTGACCATGACATATCGTTGGCTCCCCTCAGCCAAGGACGTAAGGATTGATTATTTTTTTTCTCTTTCCTTTTTATTGGCTAATTACTTTTAAAAGTTACTATTTGATAATCTTAAAAAGAATTCCATGGAAAAAATCAGAAGAATCACCAAGTTTCTTCTACGGATCCGCCTTCCAACGAAGAAACCAACTCGAAAATTAACTAAACATGAATAAGAATATGGCAATATTTACGCTTTTAAACGAATAATTACATTGTTTCAAATTACTATTTCTCCATTAATTTTGCTTATACGTACATAATTCATTTTTTTTATATTTCAAATAGTATCGATTACCAAAATTAAATATGCATAAGAATTCATAATAGTATGGCGATTATTTACGGTTTCCTTAAAAAAAAATTACTATTTCTCCATTTATTTTGCTTTCTGGAACGTAGCTTATTTTTTTTATTTAAATAATAACATATATCTAAAATTAATTAAACATTATTTGCGTCAATTACGGTAAAGCGATGATACATCTTCTAAATAAAATAAATAAAGTACCAATTCTCCACTAATCGTATTTTATTGAATAACTTACTTTTTTTATTTCAATATTTGATATTACCAAAATTAATCAATCATCATTGGCGTCATTAATAGTATGGCAATTTTTTAAGTTTCTCTGAAATAAATAAGTATTATTTCTCCATCAAATTTGTATATTTAGCCCACCTTACTTTACTTTTTTTAGCATTGATTTTAAATTGTTTAGTTTTATCGAAACACGATTTTAATACATAACAATGAGTAAAATAAACACGTGGTTTCAGACAGTTTTAGAAATACTAATTCAGTGACGTTGTCTACCAAATTTCACTTCCATTAAGTTAATCCGTCTTTAGAAATAATTTAAGAACGTGCAATAATCTTCCTTTTTTTATTAAGCTAGCAGTCATCAATGATCAATGTTCAGTCATCAATGAGTTTTAGAATCTGGAGTGACTAAAATGACTCCTTTCACCCACTGTCTGAATTACGGGAAGTTAGCATTCTGGAAAGAGACAAATAAACCTTTATTGATGAGTGTTTTCTTCTTATAGCAAACAACCAGCCTTTGGAATGTTGTCCAGTGAACGAAGACGACCCTCCCCAATGCGACCCAATCCTCCTCGGAAGTGACGACCCATTCTTCGGTTCCCTTGGAATTGATTGTTTAAGCAACGTACGATCTGCTATGTGTTCCACTTGCTCACTTGGTAAATGATGCACTTTGTTTATTATTAATTTGATGATTTTTGCAAGACAAACAAGGACGACTTTAAATACGTCCCAATAAATGTTAAACGATTTGAAATGTGTAGTTCATATAAAAAAAAATTTTTATATTGTATAGAACATTCTTGGTGTTTAATTAAACTTGGAATTAAACTTGGTCCTTTATAGCTTTGGTATGAAGCAGTTACCACAATGTTTGGTGTCAAAATACACGAAAATTTTTTACAGTGCACACTAAGAACTCTCATTGGTTCCTGATGTAAAGTAGTTGACACCATTTTTGGTGTTAAAATACACTTTTTACAGTGTATCAATTATTAAATGTACTATGTTTTAATTTTCCTCCAAAATTGGTTCGCACTTTCGGGAAAAACCTCTGACTGAATTAAATACTAAGTGCTGTTTAACTAACTAAATACTGCTTATTTTAATAATTCAATCTATTGAATTGCCGCAAAGAAAAGTACTTATTCTCTATGGATTTAAGTAGTACTTACTGTTCGCGATGCTTACAAATCATCTTCTTATTCTCAGCCCTCACAATGAGTGAGTCTATCAGATGAGTTATCTCTAATGTTTTTCTCTTCTGAGGGGAGCAGTTGAATCCTCTCAAGATACCTGGGTTCGCATACCAGTGAGACGAAAACCGCACCCAGCTCGCACCGACCACAATGCTGACGTAAAATATCCTCAGTGGTAGGGTTAGAAGACGCCCGGTGGCTGAGTGGTAGCGCTTCTCGCTCCCTTACCACAGGTCCTGGGTTCGATCCTCAGGGCTGGGCAAGGTTGACTCAGCCTTTCATTCCTTCAGTGGGTCGATAAAGTAGTACCAAGCATGCTTGGGAACTAAACACTGGGGGTTTCGCGTTCGGCTGACCAACTAACCGGCACCCCAGAGCCCAAGGTCAAGAAAACTGAGATGGGCACAGTAGGCCTTGGCCCTCTATGGGCTGTCGCGCCACTGAGTTTAGTTTTTAGGTAGGGTTAGAATTCCCTTGCCGTCAGGCTAGCAGTTGGAGGTTTTCGTGGTTTTCTTCTCCATGAAAGACAAATACAGGTTAGTTCCATCAAAAAGTCCTCCATGAAGGCAAATTTCTCCCAATATTTGATCCAGGATTTCTCTTGTCTTCTGGATCGAGTTCAAAATTACAAGGTTACGGAGTTGAACATTGGTAGTCGTAAGCTCAAATTTGGGTTTGTTGTTCAATGACGGTTATAAAAGATATCTTATTTGGTTAACCCTTCCCTTTTGTTTATAAATCTCAGGATTGTAAAGAATTCGCTAGAAATAGTGACACCACTTTTATGTTGATATTTTTAACTCATATGTTGATCAAGGTGGAATACTCAGGATTGCTTTTTTTAACACGAAATTAATTACCTAATTTCAGGACCCAGACAACAAACGAATCAGGTGACATCATACATAGATGCCTCTCATATTTACGCATTAAACCAAAATCTATCTTCTGCACTGAGGAATAACGATGGATCAGGTAAGACTTTACTTTTACGTATATGTCTATGTATGAATTCTTTAAATTGCCATAATCGACCGGCAAAGTATGGAATAATTAATTATTTTTTACATTGCTCAGAAATTCTAAGAAATTACTGTTTACAAACCTGCAAAGCATGAAACTATGTCATTCTTTTGGATGACTATTGAAAAAATTGCAGATATTCTTCTTAGGCAAATAATTCTCACACACTTAACAAATCCTTGTGCCTCATATCCAAACTTTTAAAAAAAAAATCATCAAAATTGGAAATATAATTGTTAAATAAGTAAGAAAAGAAACATTGTTTTGAAAGTTTTTAATAGTTAAGAAACATTTGAAAAAAAAACGTATGAAACAATACAAGGAAAACATACGTTTTGCTAATTGATCTAAAAAAAACCAAACTCAGTCATTTTTTTATTATATACTTAAAACAAAAGAAAAAGGCAGTCTCAATAGTTTTCTTTAGCGAGTTAGACGTTGCTGTTTACATATTATTTTAAGAATAGTTTTAAATAGGCTAAAACCTAATTTTTTATTATTTTTTTTAAAGGTTTATATGCACTGTTGGAGATTCGTCAATCAACAGTTATTTGATTTATAAACAAGCTCTTTTAGACATAACACATTAATACATTTTACAATTCTTACTTGTAAAATATGCTGGTAAGGAATATTAAAGTTGTTTGAAATTACAAAGCCATAGACCTCGAATAGTGGCAGTGGCAAATTTTAGAGGTATTTGTCAAGGATTAGAAGAAAGCTCCCAGGATAAAGGAGATATTACCAAATTATACAGGGAAGCTAGAACAATAATAAACTCTCACTGATCAAATTTGCCTTTTCTTCCTTTTTGACTCATCCTTTTCGAATTTTATATTGTTTATTTTTCCTTTTAAAAGGTTCATTGTTCACTTTGAGCTGTTTATTGTTCTTCCTGCTCCTTGGTGATGCTGTAAACTGTCATAGTAATGGATTAACATAAACAGCGGTGAACTGTCAAAGTAATAAATTAAGTCAGAGTTGCACGGGACTTGTAATTTTAGTGATAAATATAATAGGTTATTACCCATTGGCAAAATGGGTGTTGTTTTGGTTTGATGGCGTGCGCACCTTATTTGAACGTCATCACACTTTTCAAGAGTAGTGAAGAGTGTTCAAGAGTAATAGTAAACAGTGCGCAGGCGTCATCGTTGTATACGTTGCTATGGCGACCGCTGCTGTTTGATAATTTTTTTTTAGAATTCTTTTTTTCACTTTTAATTTTGTTATGCATTAAGTTGGTGAGTTTATTTTTGAGATATGGGGACCAGATAGATCTCATAAATACTTCTTGAGTTGTGAATAAAAGAGAATTTCATCATTTGAACGATATTTTTGTTTTTATTGTTCTAATTAAGAATCAGAAATTCTAACCTACAGATCAAACTGGGTCGTTTTCAATACTAATTTAGGTGAATATCACAAATAAAGAGGGTTAAAAAATAAAAAATTAGAGAACAACCATTTTGCCAATTGTAACCTATGATAGCTTTTCGACGATCGCAATTTTTTTTTTAATTGATTTCGAAAATTAAAGACATTTCAATGATGAACTGATTCTCTTTTCTCTAAATAACTGAAAATAAGCACAGAATACTTTTATTTATTTTCTGTTTATATTATAATTGTTTTAGGGACCATGCGATTTGAAAATTCCAGAGAAGGTGGGGAACTTCTACCTCCTAGTGCTAATCCCAACGAAGACTTCTGTAGTTTTCAAGACCCAAATCTTAACTGCTTCGAAACAGGTATCGTATTCAAACTTATTCATTGAAATTAGAAGCTATTGTTTTTACCATTTCTGTTATGTTTCCTCAGGAGACCAGCGATCTAATCAGCACCCCGCTCTCACTTCTATGCATACTCTGTTTCTAAGGGAGCATAACAGAATCGCCAGAAGTCTAAGAAACCTCAACAGAGACTGGGATGGAGAGAGAATTTACCAAGAGACCAGGTAAACCTCTTTTTTAAATTAGGAGTAATAACCGCTATAATCATAGTAAGCGATGGATGTCGAACCTTATTGGCTGATGAATCGTGGCATGATTCAGCCAGGGCTAATTCAGCAGCCAACATCCACGTTTGACGTCGCTTACTGGTACCCAATTAAATCTGATCTAAAAAAGGATTCAATGTGATAATAAACGAAGTATAAAAGCTGTAACGTAACACACCATTTTATTTACATGCAACCAGCTGATTTCAGAGGTCTTCTTCTAGAGCTGTAAGTACCCTATTTTTAAGACTCTACGTCTACACTGATACAAGTATTCGTTTGAGTAATTACAGGAATTGTCCCAAGTGAGTTATAAGCTATCTTACGGAGTTATGATAATAAAGCACTGGACTGTTTCCATGGAAAATAGTTTAAATCGTAATTGCGAAACTGAGAGTTTCTTTTAAACGGAGGACATATCAAATGGAATTGGGAATGTTGGATTAGATCAGGGGTTTCCAACTCACATGAGGCCGGGGGCTGCAAGTAAAAACACCAGTCAAATGGCGGGCCGCAACTTTATCAAAATTTTATTTGGGACTCTTTTATGTTTGAAGGAACGTTAAATATTACTGTCAGAATTTTATCAAGTTGTACAAAACAAAAGTATTGAATTACAAATTAAAACAAGAAGTAGATTTTTGAAAATATTTTATTGCATTAAAAAATTGTGGTCACAAAAATTTACAAATGTAAATAATTTCTTCCAAAATGAGTGGTTTCAAAAAGTCAAATCGGGAGAATTTCGATTTAACTTTTTGAACTTCGAGAATTTGATATACACATGCTAAATTATATTCACAAAATACAAAAAACGAAATACAAAAAAGAGCAACATACAGGATTATTTTTGTATTTGAATAAATATTTTCTTGAAGGCAAAACCTGAGAAATAAATTTTTTAACACCGTTGGTATGTTAAATTTCACAGAAACGAAGAAATTAGTTTTTCTTTTAGCGAAAGAAAAGTATTTTAAACCCATATAGAGTTTTTACGAAAATTGCCCGCTACAAATGACAAATAATGTATTTTAGTTCGCGGGCCACAAAAAAAAAAAAGGCTTCGCGGGCAGCCAGTTGGTAACCAGTGGGTTAGATTATCTGTGCTTTAATGGTGCACGTTAGGATGTCATTTTGGCTAGCCTTCGTCTGTAAATAAACCATCTTTGTATTCCTTTATCATTCTTGTTTTTATTAAAAGAACCCACCATTAAAATAGAACCCTGCCTACCCTAGCAACAAAATAACTTGGGCCCTCATTGGACCAATATTCAGGAATCTTGGCTCAACAAGATTTCTAAGAGCTGCTATCTTCCGATATTGGCCCAAAATAGAATAGTCCGATTCGAAAGATATTTTACAGCCATTTTACAACCAATATCGGTTTTATATAGAACTGTCAGATTTACCCGATATTTTATATTCCTTATTTAGCCACTGTAGGGCCTATATTGGCGGTTGTAGGTCAATATCGGTCCTAAAAATGACCAATATTAAAAAATCTTGACATCCCAATATGGGTCAATCGGTGCTTGTTTATATAGGACCCATATTGAACCAAAAATTCTTCTTTGAAACAGGAATATTTTGCCATCTTCCAGAAGGAAATCGTTTATTTTTTTTTCGAACATAAGCGTTCATGTTTTTCTGAAAATTTCTTGTTTTTAGACCACTTAATGTAAAAATATATATATATATTTAAAGCCTAAGTTCTGAAGCTTTGCTTACACTCTTTTATTGAAGGAGTAACATAAGTCTTAAAAATTCAAAAAAAAAAAAAAAATTTAATTAAAAACTACATATCACGAATAATTTTATGAAGCTTTTAAGTCAATCAGACCTCATTTGAAGGAAAAAGAAGCTTTGAGCAAGCCAGGGAAGAAGTGCAAGGTTTTTCTGATTTTTTTTTTTTTTTTTAATCAAAAGAATAGATTCTGTAACTGGCACCTTTCCGAGAAGGAAAAAAATAAAACATAAATGGTACAAAAGCTAGTTAATATAAATTTATCATAAAGAACAAATGGAAGTATTTAAGAATCAGTAATCAGAAAACGAATTAATCAGTTTATAACTAATATTTTTTTAAATTTTTCGTAAACCTAAAATTTGTGGTGTGGTAGTCGATGAATACAATTTACTTCTTTTATTCCATTACTGCACACCTTTTTTCAGGAGAATACTGGCAGCCATCATGCAAATGATTACTTACAACGAATTCCTGCCCCTGGTTATTGGTCCAGAAAGAATGGAATGGTTTGATTTGAACGTACAGCGCACCGGATACACTCAGTATGACGACACTGTGCAGGCTACTTTGGCGAACGAGTTCTCGGCAGCAGCTTTCCGTTTTGGACATTCCATGATTAACAGCTTTTTTCCACAGGTTTCGAGAGGATCGAACGCTGCTGGAGACAGACTGAGAGATATATTTCAATTCCCTTTTGGTTTGCACAGAGGAGAATTGGAAGGTCTAATCAGCGGAACTACACAGTCACCAGGACAAAAATTTGATAGGTAGTCAGCATTTAGTGATTGTACAGGCTAAAGATCCAGTCCCAGATAGCAAAATAAAGGTTTATTTTCACTCAGCAAAAACCTTTTAATGTAAACCTAAAAAGGTTTTTTTTATGCGGTTTACGTGTAAACCTTCTAACCTTTAAGTGTGGCAATCTGCTCTATTCTACACACATTACCCTAATCCAAAACCTTGAAAAACTACCTTCTTTATAAGACCTGAAAATCAAGGTTGTCTTAAGGTTTTCAAGCGTGAAAAAAAATTCTTGAATAAAGCTGGTCTTAAGGTAAAATTAATCTTAAATCTAGTTAATTATAAGGTATTTTTTCGCAGCGTTTTGTATGCTCTGCTATCTAAGTGACAATACTTTTTTTAAAAAAAGATTTAAAAATAATTTTTAATCCTTTTGGGAGGACAAGTTTGAAACTGCAATATTTTTGCTTTATTGAAAAAAGGTTTTCAGCACAAACATTTTCGTGGCAATAAAAAGAAAATTTCGACACAAGGTTGTCGTAAGGTTACATGCTTTCTGGGAATGGATTCGTAATCTGTGTGTTAAAAGTTTTTACGAAACAGTGATAAAATTAGTACTAAAGCAGCAACTATGTTTTTTTTTCTCTCCAAATCTTGACAAAATTTAACATTTGTGCTCAGTATTATTTGGCGAATCTCATACAATGCTGCACAGAATATTAAAAAAAAATTGATAAAATTTATATTGGGCAGTAAGAGCAAATTTATTAGTAAACGGTGCCAAAACTTGGAACATAAAAATAGGAATTTTTTTTTAAAAAAAAAATACAGTAGTCATTTTTTTAGCAAAAAACCATACGCTAAAATCTTTAAAAAAATCACTTAGTTAGCAACTATTGTTTTGTTTTCATTTGAAGTTAAAAATATATTATTTGATTACCATTAACTCTATTAAGGAAATCATTGACTTCCTCATCTTGCCCCCGATTTCACGGTAATATCTGAAATTGATATGTTGAACTTCTTAGACAAAATGATATTTGTGCTGAAAATCACTAAGATTTCGAATGGGTTTGTAAGAATATTTAATTCTGTCCCACCCTATTAAACTGCAGACGTTTTACAAACGATGAAGTTGCATCTTTGCATACTGTGAGGTTTTCAGTTCATTTCGAAGTTGCTGTTTTAGTAGTAGTAGTAGAAGAATTTTATTTACGCGTATTAAAGCTAGACAATGGGTTATTTTTTTATTTTATTATTTTTATAACCGGCGTTGAACAGCCGATCCAATCCTTAGTTTATGACCTCCAATGCTCAACTCCATAGCCTTGTAATTTTAATATCATCCCTGAAGACAAAAGAACTCCTGGATCAAGCATTGCGGCATACTAGCCTTTTCATAGGACTTTTTGATGTAATTAACCGGCTATTCTATCACATGGGAAGAAAACCTACGGCAAGGGGATTATAACCCATGATCCGTCTACCACTTAGGATATTTTACTTCAGCACGGTAGTCAGTGAGAGCCTGGAGCAGAATTTGTATCAACCAACCACCACTGGGATTCGAACTTGAGGCAACTCATTGGGAAGCGAACGAGGCCTCACTGAGAGGTTCCTGAGCCACTGTGACTCACAGAATATGCTATGGTGTGGGAAACATCCCTGTGGATGATCCAAAGACATGCCATTTGCCGGGATATCCTGGTTATTAGGGCACTGCGCCCATGTCCAAATGGTTGTGGGTTTGATCCCCGCTGGTCGAAGACTCACCGTTTAGTAAATGGTGACTAATGCCCGTTAAATCTGTTGGGTCTCAAAGTCCTCCAAGTTCCCATACCAAATTATACCTTTGGGGTACTGATCCAGGAGTTTCCTTGTCTTCTGGATTGGTTCAACATTACTAAGCAACGGAGTTGTAAACCCAAAATTGGGTCGACTTTTCAACGACTGTTATATAAAATAAAAAAAGACATGTCATCACAAATTCGATCCTTTACAGAGGGAATCGCTCCCTTTCTCTGGTAGGTAGAAGAATTTAACGAGGACCATACAACGTTAAGATTTTAAAATTTTCTTCATTTATTTTGACAGGTACATGGTTAGGGATGTGACCAACCACTTGTATCAACAGCGTGGGAATGCAAGTGGCTTGGATTTGGCCTCACTCAACATCAACAGAGGTCGCGACCATGGAGTTCCTGGCTACACCACCCTCGTCGAATTCTGCGGGGGACCTCAAATCAGAAGCTGGAGGCAGTTGGATGGACTTTTTCAGCGTGGACTCAGACCTCTTTTCCAGAGACTTTATGAGTATATTCTCTCTCTTTCTTTCTATACTGCAAAAACCGTCGTGTTATATCTTACCGAATTTTATGATAAATAACCCACAGGCTATCTATGCACCTGGAAAGTCATGGATTTCGGTATTGAACAAATTGTGCCATGAAATGTCATGGTTTTAACTATTTTTTTTAAAAAAAAAAATCATGGAAAGTCATGGATTTAGGTTGCCGAAAAATCGAATTTTTAAAATGGAATTTACCTACCCCGTCCCAATTTCACAGTGTTCCGAATATCTGAATTTGTAATAAAATCCCCACTCACAGTCATATTTTATTAAAATATAAAATGTTTTTATCCTGTTCCTTAAAAATTGTGGTAATATTTCAAAAAATGAAAAAAAGAACATCATTTTAAGAGGGAATTTATCTTTTAAACGTACGTGATTTCAGAATATTTTTTTATTATCTATTTATTATTTTTATTTTATCATTTTTAAATTCTTGTTTAGGCTTTTTATATTTCACTTACTTTTAAGAAGAAATAAAACAGGTTTAAATAACTAAATGTAGGACTGTATTTAGTTATTGGATTTTGTATTTTTTTATAGCTATTTTATTGCTTCAATTCTTTCTTTACTCTGTTTTTTAAGTTCAAAATCAATAAATATGAAGATGCAGAGTAAAACAGTTTTGGTTATATTTATCATTTCAATTAATGCTATTGTAATTCGTTTTTAATTTTATTCTCGTGTTTTGTCAGAGAAAATAGTAACTTCGGTAAGTCATAAGAAATTCTTGGAATTATTCATGAAAAGTCATGGATTTGAAAATCTAAAAGGTAGCAGATACCCTGAAACCAGAAACACTTAATTTAACTTAAAATCGAGCTTTCACATACATTTTAAAAGATGTAGAAGAATCTTTTTTTTGTTTATTTTTAATTTCCAATGGCAAGGCAAAAAGGTACAAATAGAAAGATGAAATAAATAACGAATACAGATATACGTAGGATAACAAAGAAAGAAGACCGAAGTCATTGCCTTAAAAGTTCTCTTGCTTCCCAATATCTTGAGGACTCAGTGAGTCAATGAAGGGCCCCACATAGAAGCAGGTGGTCCCTGCCCAATTTCTCTCCAGATTTACAAAGTGGACAAAAAGGCGTGGTGGGAAGGCCTATGCGGTATAATGTAGATGAATCTAATAGATAAGTTCATGCATTTACACCGGTCATGAATCTTTTTTTTTCAAAGCAAAATTAACGCATATCGTCAGAAAACAATCGCGTTAGTTTGTCGTCCATTATGCTATGGAAGACTACTGAAACGAAAGTTTAAAAATGTATATATGATTTTAATTGTATAAAAAAAATTATAATTTTAATCTAGTTTTAAAACATCTTTTAACTGTTTAAACAATTGTATAATATTAATTTCTAACTGCTTCAGTTTAGTGAAGCCTAATTCATCTTATTGTTATCTATACAGTCCTGGCTTATTTATTAGACGCACTGTAATATTCTGTATAAAATCTTAATTATCAGGTAATACTATACAGCTTTATTTTTTTTTTACGCGACTGAAACCGGTTTGCGCTTGCTTACGTCCGTGTATCAATTGGTTAAATTAGACGATATATAATATATATATAAACTGCTGTTTGTAGAAAATGCAACACCATGAAGGAATCATCAGAATCAAATGAAATTCGCAGCAAATGTCAATTATAGGATATTATGCAAATTAATAAAGTTTCAGAGCCATCGCGCGTGCGTGGCGCGCGCAGCGCCCTCTGAATTGATGCTGAAAGCGTATAAATAAAGTGCTGTAGCGGGACGTTGAAAATAGTCTATGATTATTTGTTAGTGGCAAACGTTTAGTGAGACCTGAGTATGCCTCCACGACGGAAGAATAAGAAATTCAAGCAACTTACGGAGTTTGAACGAGGGAGGATAATCGGCCTTCGAGAAGGAGGATTTTCCTATCGCGCAATAGCAGCTCGTATGCAGCGGAACAGTTCCACAGTGATGCGAGTTTGGAAGCAGTGGACCGACGAGCACCGAACAACTC